GAATCATCTATAGATTCGATATGTACATAGCTGTGACGATCGTATGCTGTCTTTCTGATTTTTACAAGTAAAGTAAGCTAAATTATGAGCTAGAATATTTAGGTCCCTTTTTATATGCTGTATATTTACAGCTGAAAAAGAGTCCCATAGCTCCCATACTTGATCCATCCGTAATTGGAAATGCCAAGGATTATCCGATGTACGATCCTTGATTCTTTTGGTTAGGGCTTCTGCATCTGAGAATACAAACACCTTTGAAACACACAGCCTTCTAGCATGACATAGAGCTTGTATGAGTCCCCAGCTTTACATCGTCAGCTCCAACAGCATAACATTTCCTGCCTTCTGCTGCAATTGTTTGAAAGTCGTGAGTTAAGATTATGTATCCAACACCTGCTTTGCCACTAAGTGGCATAAATGAACCATCCACAAAGATCAAGAATTGATCAGTTGATGATGCCCCATCTGTGCACGGAATTTGTGCTAGATGTAGAGGATTGCAACTTGAGTTGTTTATATAAAACATAGAAATTTGAGATAGAATCTTCGGAGGATTAGGCTTAGCACCACGGTATATGATGTCATTCCTAGCTTCCCAGATTAATCTTAATATTATCATGAGAGTGGCCCAGTAATGGTGTTGAGTTTCTTTTGACAGCTTATCAATTTTAATTTTCATCCATTGTTCAATCGTATGGATGAATGGGCCTTGTGTTATTCTCTCAGGATATTGATGCCTATTTGTAGGGGTGCAAGTCGGGCAGGTTGGGATGGGTTTATGATCAACCCAGGTCCGGTCTTAAAATTTGGGCTTAAAGTCCAAGCCCGGCCCAAGCCCAAGGTCAAGTCCGATTGTTCCAACCCGAGCCCAGTCCGCTCTGTAATTTAATGTATTTGGGTTGGGCTCGGGCCCGGGCTAGGCTCGGGTTGGTCAATGAACACACTCTAAAATTATATATAAATGTATTTATGCAAATATATAGACAAATATTTATGTATGTATGTAAATATGTATGCAAAATATCTATACAAATGTTATATATACAAATATGTATGTATACATATAAATTGGACCGAGCTCGGGCTGAGTTCAAACTACCTAACGGCTAGGCCCAAGTCCAGCCCGAAAAATAAAAAAACCTAACTTCTTGAACCCAAACTCAGCCCGAGGACCGAAAATCCAAACCTAACTTGTGTAAAATTCCAGATTGGTCCGATCTGGGCTCGGGATGTACCCGCCCAAGTTACACCCCCTACCTATTTGTGCCTGGAACCATATAACTCTAGTAAATGGACACTTTGAAAGTTGAAAAATAAGTGCTCGACTCTGTCTCCATGCAAAAAACGCATGTGAATGGACCCCTCTTCTTTGCTACACTTTTGGATGGCTCATTAGACGCTACACTTGTTTGCTAAATAAAGCAAAATTAAAATCTCTACTCCTCTTCAAACCTAAACCCCCAACTTGTTTTGGTCCAGACAATTTATCCCATGCTATGAGTCGGACCCCTCTTCTTTGATGATCATGTTTCCACCGAAAGTTTCTATTTATAACATCAATTTCTTTAGTCACTAGTGATGGCATGATGGTTACCCCCATTGTATAGGATGGTATGGCTTGTTGTACAGCTTGAACTAGAGTGGTCCTGGCTGCTTGAGAGAAGTTTTGCTTTCCAACATGCTAGTCTATCTTAGACTTTTTGGATGATCTCCTTATAGTCTGCTTTCAATCTCCTATCCACACAAAGTAGGATACCTAAATACTTTGATTTAGGATGCATCTTGTGAATCTTCAATAACTTTGAAATCATCTTTTAGTGTCTTGGATGTAAATTCTTACTAAACACGAGCCTAGATTTGGAGTGATTTTTGAGTTGACCGGAAACTTTCTCAAAATTGCTTATAATTTGCTTGATAGTTCTTAACATTCCTAAATCCGCCTACAAAGAAGGATACATTCATCTACAAACAACAAGTGACTTAACTTCATTGTAACTCTTCCAAAATTTACCCCTTGAATTTCATTGTTTTCTTCTGCTTTATGAAGCATTTGAGGTAGTACCTCCATGCCAAGAATGAACAAATAATGTGACAAGGGGTTCCCTTGTCCTAGTCCCCTCTTATTTTTACTATAAAAGAAGGAGAAATTATACATTGATTGATTCACTTACTCCATTTCTGAGAAAAATCCATTATACATAACACCTCATCGATAAATTGCCATCCAATACGGTCATAAGCTTTAGACATATCCAATTTGAGTGCTATATAGTGTGTGCCATTCTTTTGATGTTTGTGTTGATGAGCTACCTCTTGGGCAAATACCACATTATCTAATATTTGCCTTCCTTTAACAATCCTGGTTGTAGTCTCATCACCAACCATTTGGCAATAAATTTATAACAAACATTACAGAGACTGATGGGTCAATACTGATGTGGACCTTCAGCAATTTTATTCGTAGGAATGGAAATAATGTTAGAGCAATTCACTTGTTTTAACAAAGACTCTGGTTCAAAGAAATTAACCACAATAGAGGCAACATCTTGTCCAATTTGATCCCAATATCTTTGATAAAAAAATGTTGTGAAACCGTCCGGGCCCGGAGATTTATGTAGATTCATATTAAACACAATTTCCTTGATTTTGTGCTCCGTTGGTGGAGCGAGTAAAGTTTGCTTTTGTGCCTCACTTAATTAAGGGAAATTAAGATGTTCTAAAAGGCGCCAACATCCAACTGCTCTTCAACATCTCCAACACTTTGTATATACTTATGAAAGATTCTCTTTATTTCTTGAGAGTTTGTGGTCCAATTACCATTGGCATCCTTTACCTAGCTTAGAGCATTAAATCACCTCTTAAATTTTGTCATATGAAGAAAATATTTAATGTTATGATCACCCTCCTCTCTTAGATTTTAGTCTCCACACTTGTTCATCATGGGCAAATTCAATTAGTCCAACCTTTTATATATGTACTAGGGGTGAACAAGAAAAACTGATCGAAATTGAACCAAAAATTTAGTTAACTGAACCATTCGATTTGGTTTCAGTATTTTAAAAAACCAAAAGTACCGCTTTGATTTAGGTTAACCAAAATAGAAAACTGGCAGTTAACCGAACCGACCGGTGTACATATATTTTTATATATTTTACTTATATTTATGTATATTTTATATTTTTTATACATTATAAATTACTAAATATGTATATATATATAATATAATATATTATTTATTATTTAAAATATAATATTTTATATATATTTCTAGCTTTTATTATATATTTATATATATTTTTATAATATATATTATAAATAATAAAAAACTAAAAAATTGACAAACCAAACTGACGGTTAACTTAATTGATCAACCGATTAACCGATCGATTTCGGTTACCGATCGGGTTCGATTACCGGTAACCCCAATTGGGTTTCAAAAAGACGACCAATGACACCGGTAAAAAGTGATGTATGGGGAAAGACAAACTTTGACACTGGTAAAAAGTGACATATGATTGCAAGTGGAAGGGTCTAGAAGTGTGTGGGGATGAATTTAATAATGAATATGATGTACAAAGGTTTTGTTGAATTGAATTGAGTTGAAATTAATGTAGTGATAAGAGGTTTATCCATAGTTGGCGAAAATACTTAGCCCATACCCGTTGGAGGACATGTGTCCAATAAAAGGCATTTTATTAAATAAACTAGTGGGGACCTGTGCGATGTACATGATTTGTTAAGAGAAAATAAACAATAGAAACAAATAAAAGTATATAATTGTTTTATATTTTTAACTTTATAAATAATAATTAATAATTATTTATATATTATATACTACTTTTAATATGTTTTTACAATACAAAAATAACAATAATTAAATTCATCTATGGTTGTTCATCAAATTGATTAAACTGACCATATCTATCTATCTATCTATCTATCTATCTATCTATCTATCTATCTATCTATCTATCTATCTATATATATATAGCCCGAATTGGCCGATTTTCACTAATGGTTAGTCGATTTCTGGTGACCAACTCCCCAACTTGACTCGGTTGATTTGGTTGGCCAAACAACCTACAACCAAATCGAACTAACATGTGAATACTACTAATTTCAGCTAAATTAATAGTCTAGCCTCTAATAAATAACAATAGTTTAATCTCCAATAATTATTGAAAATTTTCTTAACAACAAAACAAAAGTAGATTTATATATAATTATTGATATATTTATCACAAAAAACAATAAATATTAAATTTAGTTTATATAAATATATAATAAATATATATTAAGATTTTAAAATTACTATTAATAAATATTATTTTTTGAAAGTTATTTTCTAGAATTATTAATTGATATAAGTGAAATTTGTTATTTACAATATTAAATTTAAAATATTAATTATTTATTGAATTTAATAATTTATACTATTATTACTTAATTTCGTTATTAATTTTGTAAAATATTAAATTATTATTAATTTGAGTATTATGTTATAATTGTTTTTATACTTTTAAAAAGTCTTTTAAATTTATTATATAATTTTGTTATTTTAACTATTTAAAATCTAGTTATGTTAAATATTTCGTTATTTAAAACATTTAGTTATTTAAATAATATGTAAAATATTAAGTTTTTTCGTTATTTGAATTTTATTTATTTTAAAGTTATTACATAATATTAAATATTTTTTTTTGTAATTATTTATCTATTTTTAATATTTTTTATTTAAGATATTTAGTTATTGAAATATTTAAATAATATTTTTTTAATGTCAATTTTTTATTATTTGAATATTATTTCATGATGAATTTTGTAAAATATAAATTTATTAATAATATTAATATTATTAAATCTATTATAATTATTTTTTGTGTTTTTAATAAATATATTAAAGTTATTATATAATTTTGTTAGAATATTTAAATAAATTTTCAAAATTTTAATTCAAACTTTATTTAAATAGATATAGATAAAAAGTGGGGGAGGTAGTTTAAGAGGAGATTATTTTGGTTAAGAACATTTGTGTGTGTGAGAGAGAGAGAGAGAGAGAAATTTGACCCATTAGTTTTAGGATTTAGGGTTAGAGTTTATTGGTTGTTTAAAAAATGACATGAAATAAAAAAATCAAAAAAAGAAAAAATTTCTAGACTGCTGTATTTTAATATACAGATATAGATTGAAGGCTCGGGATTAGGGTTTAGGGGTTCCAACTAAATAAATTTGACCCATTAGTTTTGGGATTTAGAGTTAGGGTTTATGGGTATTAGGATTTAGGAGTTTAGAATTTATGTAAGGGCATTGTTTTTAAATGTGAGAATGAAGAGATAATCCGACCAAGGAAGGAAGCAAAGCAAAGCTCAGACACGAAGGGGGTAACATGAGTGCATTGAGTAGTGACTGGGGTGTGGTTGGCCCAACGCACTAATGGGTGGATTTCAGGCCCAATCCATATTATATCTGGAGTTGGCTTGTATCAGCCCCAGTGGGCAGCGGCCGGGCTCAGAAGGAGTACATGATTTGTAGAGAAGGAGTACATGCTGTCGCGTTCCAGTCGAATGATTTGTAGAGAAGGAGTACATGATCCCCAATCTCAGGCTCAGAAACCAGAATCATGAGATCATCACGATGCACCAGATCAACCATGTCGCCGTGTTCGAAAATGGCTTTCATGATTATTTCTCGTAGCAGTAATAAAAGATGGCATTTGAAGAAGGATATTGTTACGTAGCCTTATATTTGGGGCCTCTTGCCTTCTTGGCCCGATTTAAAAATACTGCAAACTCCAAATCTCAGGAGTGGAGAATCTTGAGACTCAATCAATCCGATTAAAGCTACAAAAACTGTCCACCAACGCTTTCAGCCCTGACTCTCGAGGACACCGTTTAGTTATTTGGTCAGGTAGAAGATTTAATAGAAAACTACAGACATAATGCAGATTTCTGAATTCCATTGTAGATTTATAAATATTTAAAATATAAAAAATCTCTACATTCTGAATTAACACCTACTCAAGGGCTGAACCATCATTTCTCCCAGATGTGCAGTTATTCAAGTGGACGAACAATTTGCATGAATGGTTATCAGGGTGGAAATGGGCCGGGCTCGGTTCAGGTACCAACGGAATTAGTTAACATTCAACTCGTTTATTGCAACCAAGCAAATTTATTCATCGGATGAGGGCAGCTTACTCAGTACAAAACAAAGGATTGTGGGTAGATGAAGAAGCTTTTTCTTTTCCAGGCAAAAGAGTGGTGATTAAATTATATTGTGGCAAGATGAAGAAGCTGAAAGTTGTGATGAACCATAAACTTAAAACTGGTGCATTAAGCCAAACACAATGGTCAAAACTTTGACCTAGATCACCTTCAAAATTGTGAAGATCTGCTAACTTCATTTCGGTGTCTTTCAGTTGCAGCCTGGAGGGTGCTGGCTTGTTGGTAGTGTGTGTACAATGTGGGGTGGGGGCAGGGCAGTCCCAACAGGGTGGATCTGCTTCTCATCACAACGACCTCACAGACACATTCCACCGTATATTGAGAGAGATGTTCCCGATGTGCCTGTGAGGCGCCATGTGTGAGTAGCAGATCCGGTCTCGGATCGCACGCGTTCGTTGTCGTAGTTTCTACTCCTACTCATTTCGTTAGTCTAAACTGAGAGAGAGATGGTTATTAGATATTGGTTAGTTAATTAACTCCTCAGTCCTCACTCAGAGGGCAGAGCCTGCGGGTGATAAGTTGATAACTTATATGGTGTTCACAGTTCAAACTGTAGTAGTAGAACCGAATCGGAGTTATTCTCACAGTACCCTGAATTACTAAATTAACCCTTTTCATCTTTTTTTCATTCTAATAAGGTAGGCCGGTAGGCCCTGCCCCTAGTCCCTCCCTCAAAAAAAAAAAAAAAGAAAAAAAGAAAAAAATGATTCTTACCAATTGGGTCGGGCCCACCCCGAAACTTCTTACATGAAAGAATCAAAGAATCGGGCCCACCACCTTATCACCTGAAAGCCTGTCGGCTATCAACGGTAAGACTTTCCTGATCACCTTACCACTGCTTGATCGGTATGTTATATCTTCCAGCACGCAAGGCTTTCCGAGAAAAAAAAAAAAACACATCAACTTTCAGGTGATGAATAATTAGCTGCATCAAACTGGGGATTATGGGATTGGGATTTGGGTCCTTCCGAAGTCCCAACATCCGTACCCCACATTTGTTGATTAATTGGAGTTGGAAACCCCACTCCCTGTATATACAGCAGATCCGGACTTCCACCATTCCCAAGTTTAAAACCTACCCTTTTTCCTTTTCATGGTCGGCAACTGGCAGTCTGACGAACCGGGATCTGCTCGAAGCGCCTCACAACACATCGGCCGTGTATTAGGAATATCTCCCGTAAATAATAATTTATAAATACGAAAGATATTCTCAATACGATGTGCGTGTGAGGCGCGAATGAGACGCCCTATGTGAATAGCGGATCTGGTCTCCAGTCTGACACCTCCGTCAGATAAAATTGAACAGTTCCTCTTTCCTTTTTCTGCCTCTTCTTCAGAGAGATTCACCTTCTGCTTGACTGAATGACTGGTACTCTGGTAACTCCTGTTTCTATTATATAAAAAAATGATATTTAAATTATATAATTTTGGTAGAATTGGAACCGTGAAAATCTCAAGATTTCTGGATTTTAAAGGGTAGGATTTGATTTGGGGAAGCAGTTTTCTAGTAGTTCATCGTTACGATTTCCCACTTGCTGATGTAGGCAATGTACGTTTTGACTAGTGGAAGATCAAGCGGGAGACAGATGGACACCAACGATTTGATTGTTTCAGACTCTCACTCAGAAAGAGAGAGAGAGAGAGGTGTAAAGGGAGAATAGTGAGTGCCAATCAGAAGTCGTTTACAGCTCACCAGAAAGTAACCCAAAACTCGATTTCTCGACCAGACACAGACAGAATCTTTCAGACCCAGAAAAGAAATAGATTGAAAATCACGCTCTTTCCCTCTCAACTCCTAAGTCCCAGTTTTTATTTTAAATTAATTAATAACTTACAGGATACAGAGGAGAGACGACGCGATTCGCCAATGCCACCGCTAGCCATGTCTAACTTCCTCCTGCCCCTCCTTTGTTTCTCTGCACTCTTCTTGTTACCTGTCCAAGCACTCACTCTACCCTCCGATACATCTGCACTCAAAGCATTCAAGGAGGCAATAAAGCCAACCACCATCCCTCCTTGGTCATGCCTCGCATCCTGGAATTTCTCCTGCGATCCTTGCTCCCTCCCTCGCCGTTCCGACTTCATTTGCGGTATCACCTGCAATTCCGACAGCACTCGCGTCACAGCACTCGTTCTCGACCCAGCCGGTTACTCTGGCACTCTCTCACCTCTCCTCTCCAAACTCACCCAGCTAACCCATCTTGACCTCTCCGACAACTCCTTCTACGGACCAATCCCTTCCTCCCTTTCTTCTCTCACCAACCTCCAAACCTTGAGCTTGAGATCCAACTCCTTCTCTGGTTCCTTCTCACCCTCATTAACCCAACTCCCATCTCTCAGCTTTTTGGACATCTCCCACAACGCCTTAACTGGAAGCCTCCCCCAAACCATGAGTTCCCTCTCCAGCTTGAGAACCATCGACCTAAGCTTCAACAAGCTCACTGGTTCTCTACCCAAACTACCTTCCAATCTATTGGAGTTGGCTATAAAAGCCAACTCGTTAACTGGGCCTCTACTGCAATCTTCGTTCCAAGGGTCACCGCGGTTAGAGGTGGTCGAGCTGAGCGGTAACATGTTCAACGGAGTAATCAAGGGCTGGTTTTTCCAACTCCCATCTCTGCAACAGGTCGATCTCTCTAACAACAGCTTCACAGGTCTCGAGATCTCGAAGCCATCGGACGCCAACGGCAACCTGGTGGCCGTGGATTTAGGGTTCAATAGCATCGAAGGGTACTTACCCGTAAATTTCGCTAGTTATCCTCTGCTGTCATCGCTCTCGCTTCGGTACAACCGGTTTCGTGGTCCAATCCCAATGGAGTACAGTAACAATTTGTCGCTGAGAAGGTTATTTCTCGACGGGAATTTCTTGAACGGGAAGGCGCCGCTCGGGTTCTTTTCCGATGGGTCATCAGTCTCCGGTAGCTTCGGAGATAACTGTCTGCAAAGTTGTCCGAATTCGTCCCGGCTATGCTTGCCTTCGCAGAAACCTAACTCGATTTGCCGTCATGCATATGATGGCAAACCAAGGTCCGGTAGTTCCCAGCCTTAGGATTAATATATGTTTTAACTTTTAATTATCATTTCCTTTATATCACAATTAGTGAACTGTTGATGATAAATCAACGATGTTAAACAGTTGTTTTCTTTAGCTCCAAGAAGGTTTTGTGCTTTGTAAATTGTATAGAAAGAGAGACCATCTGCTTGCACGGAATAAATTAGTCATTATTACTAGCTATATGTAAAATTGTAAATAGCGTTTTTAATAATATTTGTTTAGTAGTGAAGAGTAATCGGATTTGAAACGTCGCCGGTGATGGGAATTTTGATCGTTTAACGGTGAGTTTCCGAGCAACACATGCAACATCTGACAGGAAGGGTAATTTGGCCATCTGGAGAAGAAGATGCTGAATTCGTATCGTATGTTATGTACATAATAAAAGAAGATTCCAATCTTACGTCTAAAGAGAGGTGAGAGGTACGTAACATCTATATAGACTACTGGGCAGCCTGGGTTGCACCCACCCAAGAAACCCAACCTTTTGCCGACAAGGCGATATCTTCTCGGTATCAGAACAGCCTTACTTTCCGCGTCCTTTATTTATTTATTATTTAACTACCACCTATACTACACCTGGGGCTCGTGGTTGGACTCATGTGTACTATGAATGAATTAACGGTACGAGCCCAACTTGCTACAATCACAACTAAATGAACGGAAGCCAACATTCTAGCCAGTTGCAGGCTTACAAACGCATTCATATTTCAACGTTGTTACTTACTTTGATTGATTACTTAGTAACCGTTTGGGAGTGCTCATTGTATAAACAAGTGTTTTAACTTTAGTAAATGCGTATGAGTGTGTTTTAACTAACTTGTTCTCTAGAAGGCTATCCATTAGTTGCCCCACTTTTCAATATAACAGACAAACATATTAATAAAGGTATTTTACGGGTCAACAATATAGTCCAGAGAACATGTTATCTGCCTAACAGTTTCACGAAACATTTTGGTTGTGTTTTGATTGGGGTGAAAATGGAATTTAACTTCACTGTTGCCTCAATTCCACCGAATTAATCAAATCATTTGCCCTCCTCAGAATTTAACTATATATTTTAAGTGTATCTGCTGGATGGAGACCCAGAACTCTAAAATCTGCATATTTGCAAGTTCTCTACTCCACTACGAAATGGAGCCTGCAGACCAGATAGTGGAACCCAGAGACGTGTGGAATTCACTCCATCGGCACTATGAGTTACACGCTAATCCTGTGGATCAAGAAGAGGTGTAGTCTGCAATTTGGGTAGGCTTCGGTTGAAATTACGTTAATTTTTGAAGAGCCCAAAGGTCCAAGCCTAGTGCTGTATAAATTTAAATTCTTCGAACCAGGGACCCGACTTGCACCCTAATTTGAACCTATCTAACTTCTAATCAAATGTTGTTTTCTCTAGGTTTAATTTTTGTTTTTCTATGTGAAAAGATTGGAAATCAAACTTGTATTACACTTTTACTTTTAAACCGAACTGAAAGATGTGTGACACCAATAGGATGGGTGGGGCTTTCAGAAACAGACGAGACAAGATTTGTCCGGTTTTGTTCGTTTTTATTCAATTATGGTATGTATCAGTTCTTTGTTTCTATTACATTTAACTATTGCCTTTTTAAAACGTTGTCTTAGACTTTCCGTCGCTTCCATTAGACGTTCTTACTCATTTTCAACCCTTTTTATGTTTCTTTCTGCTCATACTTCATGCGAAATACGCTTCTAATCTAAACAAAAATAAACTGGCAGAAGGAAGTGTCTCCAAACAAGCAACAGGCACCATTCATGAAATTAATATTTTATTTCAATAATGTAAACAGTTGCCAAGAATCGAGATGCTTAGCCTTTTGGTGGGATGACTACTGGAGAAAAGTTTTTCTTTGACCGATAAAATTATAAATTTATAATCACCGACGAGCAAGAGCCAAAATCAACATCCAGGCTCCCACTTTTGTGTGAATACAAGAAGAAAAAATGTCTGGTAGTTCAACTGATGGGAGTACCTAATTTCTACTTAGTCCAAATCCTCCGTTCACTGAATATTCCTTTCAACAAGATTTATATTAGTATATTACAATTCCTGGACTACAGTTGATAAGTAGCTTGCACTTGACTAACTGAACCAGCCAAAAGTGCAACTTAGGTTGATCGAAGTTGGTACTTTTACACTGCTTCGGGTTTGGGCCTTTGGTCTTGGGTTTTCGGACTGGGCCTATTTAAAAATTTAACACAAAACACCCTTATTGTCAATGGTGAAACGTTTACACTATTGGCCAGGGATCCAGGACCCATAAACCGTTTTGGGGATTACTTGCTTCTTATCCTACACAAACTTGGCCAAGGACACAGTACTTCAAAATTAGAGGCGTAAAATTAAACCCATGTAACTACAGGCTCTCCATTATAATGTTAATGAATCTAACGTGCGAGTTCACATCTGCACCCCACAATGTCTCACAGCACATTCCTCTCATGTATTGGAAACATCTCCCAATGATAGTACCAAAACTGATGATATCATCTTTGGGAAGTATTCTCAATACACGGTGAGGATGCGCTATGGGACGTTGTGGGGCGCAGATCTGAGCTCCTAACGTTCACCCTGCTCTTTCCCCAACCCTTTTAACCCTGTAGTGTGATGTAATATCGAAAATAGAAAAAAAAAAAAAGGTTCCGTTTTCAATATTTGTTATTTAAACTCTTCTCTAAAATATGTGTTTTGAAACATATATTTGGACAGTGGTCCGAAATTCCATTGAAATCTAAGCTTTTGGGATAGAGATCTACTTGGCAGAAGTGTCCATTAGAGGAAATTTTTTGCAAAGAGTTTATTCCTTTTTCCTCCATTTGTGTTTTCAGCCAAAAACTCTCATTCTTGTTGAAATACATGTAAAATAAGGTAGCAAACCTTGCTCCATCTATAAATAAAATCGATATACTTGCTTCATCTTTCGTCACCTTGGCTTCCTTTACCGGGAAAAAAAAAATAAAGAAAGAAAGAAAGAAAAAACTTGGCTTTTGATTTGAATTTCACCATCAACCATGACGAATTATAACTCCTCTTTCCTTTTTCTCCTTCTGTGAATATCTCATCTTCCGGATCCTTTTTTTTTTCTTTTTTTAAGATATCATCTTCTGGATCCTCGAATCGCCTTGATTACTATCATCGAAGCCAAGAAACTTGTGCATACACGCACCCTATGTTATTCCTCATAATGTCCACTTTTTCCAACTTTATTTCTAAGGGTGCAATACAGGTGGGTTGGATCAGGTTGGAGGTGAAACCCAGGTTCAACACCTAAAGGTGTAAATGTTGGGCTTAGGCCTGGCCCAACTCGAGTTTAAGTTTAAGTTTATCCATCCAGGCCCAACCCAAGCTTAATTCAAGACAATTTAGGTTGGGATCAGATTAGGTTAATCGTGTTTTGACGTATTCATCATTTAATGGGCTTTATGAGGAAGGGATCTGCTCCCAACGGACCGCTGCTGCCACACTTTGGGAACAACTCCTTTGCCATTCATGGGAGATGCTCCTAATGTGTGACCCCTAGTTGATACACTATTGTGAGCATTTGTTGCAGGTCTGAACTCAGTTTAATGACTCACTTTAGAATAGAATTAATTGAAAATATATACAAATTTTATTTATAAATGTACATGTATACATAATTATAAAAAAAGATATAAATATAATGCATATGTGTTTTTTGAGCAGGCTTAGGTTGGGTTGGGCCAGGCTTGGGCTACCCAAGGCCTCAACCCAAGCCCAACCCAAGTTTAGGTTGGGCCTCTGGCACAGGACAAACCCATGCAAAAACTCGGGTTGGGTCGGGTTTTGATAACACAAATTGATAAGTTATTTGAATTTGATTACACAAATATATAAATTATTTTATATGAAATAATACAAATTGAACTCAAAAATACTAAATTGTCTATTCTAGGGATAAAAATAGTAAAATCATGAGATTTTAGATATTAAAGGTTTGATCTACAAACAACCTTTTCTATTCTGAGCCTCTAAAAAGTAGAAAAGCATTTATGCATCAGATTTCAGATATTTTTAATATATTTTTAATTTTTCAGACTTCAGATTTCAGATTTATCAAACACCACCTAAAAATGAAACTATGAAAAAGCACACGTGTGAGTTTTGAAAATAGAGGAGCCTATGTGTGAATTATGGTTAGAGGCCCTTAACTTTCACCCATTCCTCTTTCTTATATAGATATAGATAAGATATGTGACATGGAGAAAATGTTTCCTCAGACCTCTCGCCGCTTTAATGAAATCCAAACACACCAGCTCTTGAAATGAAAAAGAAAAAATATGTAATGCCTTGAAGGGTCTGCAAATTGTGGACCCTTCAACAGCTGCAAATATTGTTGTAATGCCTTGAATTAATTGCAAATGTAATGTAAGCTCTGTGAAATGGGACTCAAGAGGATGTAGACGGTGGATATTAATGACAGCTCATCCAAATGTAGAAAAATTTTCAAAATCAAGGACGTATGATCTCGTCATCTGCTTTCCTCTTGATTGTAGAACCTTGGCTGTAAAATGCAACGATATGATATAGTACATTAATAATCTTTGGTAGTAAGTATAATAATAATAATTTTGAATATTGAAATTATCATAATATGTGTTTGATTCTATTTACATTTAATAATAATAATACTTTGTTTACTTGCAAAACCAAAAAAATGTAATAATTACAATAGTTTATGACAATTAGGCGTCACTAAACATCACATTAGCATAATAGTTAAAAAATATTAAACGATTTGAGAAAACTTTAAAAAAAATTTCTCCATTGAAATCACTTCATAAACTGTTGAAATAACACCTACGTGTCAGCATTTATTGAATAAAACGCCCACTATTTCAAACACTCTACTGAACTGTTTTAGAGTACTTTAGACGGTGACTTCTACTGAAACTATCCTAAATGATTTCTTGGAAATGGCTTTGTCAATGCAGCTCAACCACTGCATACAAATCTTCCAAATAGCTTCTTTTTAAGCCGAGACTCCATGCTCTTATATTTTCATTTCAATTTAATAAAATAATACATAAATTTCAAAATTTTATTTTCAGCCAATTGACGCACTCAAAGACACGTAGCTCCGCTCTGAGGGTCTGGACCATAAATGCATTAACTAATTAACATTAATTACCATGAAATTAAGTAGAGCGTTGTACAACAAAAAGTACAACCAGAAGACAACCAAGTATTTAATTATAAACATCAACAACCAAGTATTTATAAACATGAATACTACTGACATCCGCACAATGTTCCATGCACACTTCATCAAGGCCAAGGTCGATGAAAACATGTATGTATGTATGTATGCGCAYACATGTCATGCATACAGTCCTAATGTTTAGCAACTGAATGAAACTTAAGATATTAATAAAGATGCATGCATAAATTAATTGTTCTCTAAAGCAAAGCATGTCCAGGAAATGAATAACAAATTACGTGTAGTAACCCATTTAATCCCAAGGCGTTCTTTGTTTCAATTTGACCATCAACCCATTCTTCATCAAACAAACTAAGGTTGGTTTTATGGTGATCGATTGACCCTCCACTAGATGAACGTGGAAGTTGAAGAGTATAGCTGCAGCTGCCAACTTCATTTGAGTGAAAGCCATTTGCTTACCTATGCATGATCTCGGCCCTGCGCTGAATGCAAAAAATTTGGACATGGGTTGAAGATCTAGCGTCCCATCCTCACGAATCCATCTCTCGGGCTTGAACTCCAAACAGTCCTCTCCCCATATCCATGGCATCCTCCCAACAGCATACTGGGAGAGTATCATCTCCATCCCGGGCCTCACGACGTTGCCGTCGGGGAGGACATCTTCCTTCACCACACCTTTGCTGTTGAGGGGAAGTGGAGGATACAGTCTTAATGATTCACAGAACGCGGCATGAAAGTACACCAACCCTTTTAGATCACTTTTGTCGAACACCCATGGCCACATTTTTTCCCCACTGCTACTGCGGCCCGTCGCTTTCTTCGAGAATGAAAGCCTCAACTCATCCAAGATCTTTTCTTCCACATGGGGGTTCTTGCAAATCAACCAGAAGAACCAACTAAGACCTGCAGTAGTCGTATCTCGTCCGGCGAGAGTGAAGGTCAGCATGCTATCTCTGAGGAACTTGTCACCATTATTCGCCACCGACGACAGATGATCACCACTTTGCCATCGACCTTGTTCAGAATCTTCTTGAGACTTGATATAGGTGGATAACACAGTGTTTCTGTCCACTCCCTTACGCAACTCTTCCTTCGTCTGAGAAATATATTCGGCCAAGATGATATCTAAAGTTTTCCATGACTCGATGTACTTCCTCTCTCTTCCAACCTTCAACCAGCGCATCGACTTCCAAACTAACGTCGGCACTGCAAACCTGTAAAGTATTGCTTCCTGCGCATCATCGACAGCTTGGACAAATTTATTAGTAGGCAAATCCGGAGAAAGGTGTCCTAAATCTCTCCCAAAAACCGCTATGACACTAGTATCAAACGTGAACCTTGAAAATACATCTTGCAAATCAATGCTAGATCCTTGCCTCGTCACATGATCCAACAGAGGGACAAGCCTGTCCTCGACCACCTTCTTGGTTGTGTCTGCGAGGAAGCTCCGAAACTCGGACGACCTGAAACATGAATGCGCCATCTCTCTCTGCTTGGCCCACGAATCAAAATCGGCATTGAATATTCCCCCGCCGAGAATGTCGAACTTCTGGTGGAATTCTGGGCCTTTGGGGAAGTTGGCAAAATTGGTCTTGAGAATGTACTTGAGGTTGTCTGGATCGGTAGTCACCAGGTAATGGAGCTTCGACAACTTTGGCCCTTTGATGTTAAAAGAGCCGGTGCCGAGGGAGAGGAAAATCCCGGCTATCCAATCATTTATTTTATGCATGTTGAGGACGACCGACGGGATTGAGCCAAACAAAGGCCACTGCAATAAGACTTGGTTCCTGTGTTTGAGGTACCATATCAAATATGAGGAACAAACACATGCTATGAAGAAGATTACAAGCTCCATCTCAACTTTTCTATTCGTCCACTCTCGAGTCTCGATCGGAGCAACAAGCTAATCAGGCATGTATGATAATAGATGTATAAATGCTGCATATATCCTTCTTCCTGAAAATTTAAACCGCAGAAGAATACTGGTATTAATAATGAGAAATTGAGAATACAATTACATAAGCGTACCGCAATTGACACGGTAAGTTTCCCACTTTATTGCGTACAATAAATTGGAAGACCAAACCAACCAACCAAATATCAGATGGGGTTTTGGATGGATGGATACCAGAAGTGCATGCTTGCTTAGCTGGTTCTATAACTACCGAAAATTAAAATACATACATGATACCGGGAGAAAAACATATAACCACAATCAACTAACATCATTAATGTGATGACGAAGTTTAGGACGTCGCTATATATTCTTTTTCTTTTTCTTTCTTTTTGATAAATTGCTGAAACCTCCCATCAAGTTTACGACGTTGCTAAAGTTTGTTCTGAAGTTTTGATCATCTCTCTGTGTCACAGTTGCAAGTAGATACCCTCTAAAAAGGCACCGACATGTCTAAAATATCCATATAGTCACTATTGGTGCTGGTTCTACAGAAAAATATAATACAAATTTTATTAAAACAAAAATAAATAAATAAAGTTGCAAGGCAAATTTGGAAAATAAATCTTTAGAAAAGAAATTTGAAAGAGGAATAGTGATTCATATGTAGAGAAGACTTGGAAAATAAACATTTCTGTCAAAGTAATTGTATGGGTAGATTTCAGCAATTTACCCTTAAGGCTCAGTTTGGAAGGAGTATAAATATAAATTTGTAAGAGTACAAAACCTTATATGTTATATTATTTTATATATATTTGTATTTGTACTCCTTCCAAACTGAGCCTAAGGCTGCATTTGTTTTAGGTGAGATGGGAGCTACTAACGAAACCTGAGATGGGAGCTATTGTAGTCAACATAGAAGGAGGAGGGAAACAGAGGAAGAAGAAGAGGAAGAAAAAAGAGGAATATGAGAGAGAACGAAAGAGAGACAGATAGAGAGAGAAAGGTTGGAGGTGGGTTCACAGATTTGCCACTACAACTAGTGGTGACGGAAGAGAGAAAGAAAAAAAGGGGGGAAGAAGAAGAAGCAGAGAGAGAGAGAGATTCGCCTTGCTACCGCCCTGGGTTTAGATCCACCCTAACGCAACAACTGGGTTTTGCTGCTACTACCCTGGGTTCAAATTCACCTTGGGAGAGAGAAATCTCATACTGCCGTTGCTGGGTTTTGCTGCTACTACCCTGGGTTCAAATCCGCCTTGTGAGAGAGAAATCTCATATTGCCATTGTTGCTGCTGGGTTTTCCTTCTGGATGTTTGATGGAGACACATTGGCGCCAGCAAGAGAAAAAAACCAGAAAGAGACGTTAGTATTACATTGACAATTTCAATGTATAATTTACATCGATTATCAATGCAAAAAAATTCAAAAAATGAGTTTTACACCAATTTACAGTGTAAAATTACACTCTTTCCAAACATGTGTAAAATAGAATTGGGGTGTAAAGTTTATCTCGGTTCGATTTTCCACCCCAAACAAAATGTGGCCTAAAAAAAAAAAATGTGACGATGTAAATGTAATTAACAAGTGGTGAGAAAAAGAGATGGTGACAGTAAAGGTTAGAGGACCAGTAGGTAGGGGTGTCAACGGTATTTGAAAATCCAATTTCGAATTCAAGATTCAACATAATCAAATCGGATTCGAATAATTCGAATATCTAATTGGTCGAATTCGGATATGACCTAATTTGATTCGATAAATATCCAAATTCGACCGATTATTTAATTTATATATATATAATATAAAATATTTAAATGTCTTATTTAATTTATATATATAATAATTGAATTATATGAATAATTTATATATTTATATTAATAAAATATTTATTAATTATCTAAAATAATTAATTAGTCAAATTCGAATCATTTATATACTTAATCGGATTCGAATTCGGATATATATCAAATCGAATTTTCTAATTATTACTTGATCCCATCTGTTAGTAGGATGTACCGCATACGCTTCATTCCTTATTTATTACATGTGTAGACTGTAGAGAGGGTTGAATAGTGAACACGCTGAAGTACCCCGGCCCTCCCAAGGCGAAATGGTTCCGAGAGTTCAAACCCATTTAATACGAGTTGGTGGAACATTATGATACGTTGAGTCTGGTCACATCTGAAGCCCTGTTAGTGTTTCGTTCAGGCAAAGCCCATTCGAGTATCCCTTACAGCCTTGCATCGAGAATACGGGCTTTGCCTGATGGAAGCTGATCTCACAAACTATTAAAACCAGAATTTTACACATCCATCAACCATGAGGGAGGTTCCGGAACAAGTAATTCCTCCTCCCCAATACAATTAATTGGTATATTATTAAAAAATGACCAATCAGGGAGTATTCAACAAAATTCACGAGTACATGTAACAGATAATCTTGCCAATTTGGATGAATCGGGGTGGAAGGATGATGTGGTGTACCGAGCAGGACCTGCAATCAAAGCAATGTTAGAGGCCGAGGATGAGGTCCCTGGCGAAGGCACTCCAATGTTCAAGTTAATAACAAGTGATGAGATCGGTTAGGCCAAATTATTTAAGACGAATAAGAATAATTCTCTATATTAATAAACCAAAATAAGTGTGACAAATAAGAATAATTATTATAGACAGAAATATAAAAATTATAAAAATATTTTGAAAACATATTATATACTATCATTTTCACAAAACTTTTAAGCCTAGTAATAGTGTCTATTAGTTAATTAGTATTACTCAAGCTTCAAAGCCACGAAAACTATTAAAATGTTAGATCATTATGATTCAATTATGACATTTTCTAAAATGTTAGATCATTTATTGACCATCTAGATAAGAAAATAGCTTTGCTTCGATTTAGTTTTAAATTATATATTTCATCTACATTATATAAATAATTTTTACTTATCACAATTAATTTTTGCTTGGCAAAATTAATATATAATTTTTTATATTTTTTTATTACTTGTAATTTTTTATTACATTTTAAAGATTAATTATTTAACTATCATATCATCCATTAATCCATTTGACCCAAACTACTAAACCACCATCCAAAAAGAAAAATAGTTTGATTTCTAGGTCTTACATTTTCATCAATGATAAAATAACAAATTTCTTAAACTACCCTTATGATTTAATTGACTGACTAACTATATCCTTACTGTTTACATATTGTCTTAGAATACCCCTAAGTATTCCGGCAATGATCTAAAGCCTACTTGTTATTAACGTCTGTTAACGGAATGATGAAAAAGACAATTTCAAAAAGACAGTTTCATCCTTCCCCGCACAATTTCAAAAGGAATATGAGAACCGAATCTTTCATCTTAATGAATCAGGGGGTTCAACTTGTATAAATCCTATTCCGCCACATGGAAAGTTCATCCCCTTTGGACCAACATCATCACAACCAAAGTTTGCCCTCACCAACATCATCGTACACTGCCATTGCAATCAAGCCACCGTCATTCGCGGTACCAGCCGGAGTCTTTGGAGATCACAATAGGAGAACATTGCCTTCGCGAGCTGAGCTGCTCATCCGTTACAAGCTTCTGGAATCTTTCCACTGCAACTCTCTATTTTGCCATCTAAGAGGGTTTCCATCAGAGTACCGAGATAGGCTCTGACAGGTCCAATCCCGCTATCTTTTGGGAGAATTGAACAACTGGAGTCGTTAAACCTCTCAGATAACAAGTTGACTGGGGAAATCCCTTCAGGATTGGCGGACCTTAGATTTCTTTCATATTTGAACCTCTCGTGGAACAACCTTGTGGGGATGATACCACAAGGAAGTCAAATGTAGACATTTACAACAACTTCTTTCTTAGGGAATTTAGGTTTGTGTGGGCCACCACTATAGAGAAATTGCACTATTTCAGAGAGCTCATTGCCACAACAACGGTTATCAGAAAAATTTGGGGTCAAGTTTGATTGGGAATTTGAATCAACTGGATTGGGATTTGGAAGGAGCCAAAGTGGTTGTTGGGCCCCCAGTGTTTTGGAAGAGGGGAAGAAAATGTTATGACAGCCCCTCGTTTGGAAGATGGGGACAGGTGGCATGGCCAATTCTATGTGTTCTGTTTTAAACTAGACATCAGCGGAAGGAAGGCCATACATAACTGCAATCGCTGATCTTGGGGAAACCAAATGCTCTTTTCCAGAATACAAGAGAGCACTTAACAGAAATGATAAACATTATTGAAGGTTTCTCTATTAATAATATAGTAGAAAGGATGAGTCTAAAGAATAGATTCTCCACGGACAACAAAGAAAAGATAAAAGGTTTCAGCGAGTGACGGCAAAGAAGAACCGGACCTGTGCCAACCGGCTCTCATGGCCATTGCTGAGATACTTACCGTTAGCATCTCGAGTTGGCTACAGAGAAGAGCCATCGCTTTCAAAGGTTGCAGTGGCCGTGGTGGCTTCGTTATCAGTAGACTGTGCGAGAGAGAGAGAGAGAAAACCAATGTGTCGAAAGGGTATTTTTGGGAATTTTTTTTAAAAACGTATCGGTGACATGATGTCATATGTGATGGAATATGATGAAAATTTAATGATAGGAGAGTTTTTAGACAATTGTCAGAATATTTAGGAGTATTCTAAGATAATATATAAACAGTAAGGATAGAGTTAGTCAAGTAGCTAAACTATAAGGGTAGTTTAAGAAATTTGCCCTTGATAAATTTATTTCTTATGTATAATACTTATTTATGTTTAATATAATGAATATATAATATTAGACATATGCCCAATATTTTATCTTTTATAAATATATAAAAGTAGGTATTTGCCCAAAATTTTCTCTATTTTTTTATTTGTATGATTCTTTGTATTTTTAGTTTTTTTTTAATTTTTATTATTTGACTATGATAGCATTTCATTTCTAGGTTGATTTTAAGCTTGACATTTCATTTTCATCATTTACATTTCATACTTATTTTTGTTTTTTATAGTAAATATACGATATTAGATATATGCCAATTTTTTTTTGTATTATATATTTATTTTTTTCTTTTTTATTATTTAATTTGACATTATTTATTAATCATTTGACCCAAATGGTTGAATTACTTACCCATTGCCAAGAGGGAAGAAAATGGTTTTGTTTTCAAATTACTTTTCAAAATATTTATTGTTATAATATTAAAATTCATGTTGTGAATTTAATTAATAGAATTTAATGATGAGAAAAATATATCTTAAATATATGAGTTAATGATAGAATATACCTTAAATATGAGATTTAATGAGAGAGAATAGGAAAATAATTTAATTTCAAATTGGTTTTAAGTTTTATATTCCATTTCCATCATTAATAAAACATCTCTTATTTATCGTAATTGTTATTGTTTAATATGTCGAATAATATATAATGTTAAAAAAACGTTCTCAATTTTTTTTTAATTTCTATATATTTTTTCATTCTATCTATTTTTGAATTTTATTATTTAATTGTGAAAACATGGATTAACCCATTTGATCCAAAATGGTCTAATTTCTTATCGCCACCTAGATGAAAACTATTTTTTTTCAGGTAGATTTTAAAAATATAAGCTTTTATTGTATTAGAATTATTAATTTATTATGTATGGATTTATTTAATAGAACTTAATGATGAGAATAAACAAAAATGCCTTGAATATATGATTTAATTAAGGTGAATGCAAGTTAATATCTTAAATTAAATGTTGGATTTAATGAGAGGTAATTGTATGCATTGATTACCTTAAATTTACCTATTTTCAACTCATTTAATATTAATAACTGATTACCCTATTTTCCCTCATTTTTATCAATAAATTTAAATATAAAGGGATAAATTTTGTCATTCAAAAATTTGAAAAATATTCCTCAGGCTATTCGTGGTTTTTAAAGTAATATAGATTTTTCTTAATTCTAAAACTGCCTTTCTGTGACCGATTTTACCATTTATTGTTCTTTAAATTTTCAATATAAAACCCAACTACAATGTCTTCTGAAAACCTTGCACACAAAGCAAGATATCTTACATTAATTCATTCCAACTTATTTCCAATGATGCATAAACTGGATCTTCGAACCCAGCACCAATTTTAGGATGTAATGAATGATCGTTGACAAAGCAAGGCAACCATCAATAATTCTTTGTACTTTGGGAAAATTCCAATAAACGATGGAACACTGCACGTGAAACTGTCTGATAAGGTGAATTACACTCCTATAAACGTTCCCTTTTATTATTTTTATTTTGTTTGAATTTTTAAGTTTTAGAGGTTTTTTGTTTTGTTTGTGTTTTTTTCCAAGTGTTTGATTTTGGTGGTGCAAAAATGCCCAAATGTTAGATCGGGAGAGATAGGATATGTTTGATCTGCGGCCTTTACTTGTTTTTCTCAGAAAGCTAAGGAAAATTTAGAAGAGAAGAGATGAAAACATGAGATGGAGAACTTAGAAAAACTGATTTTGATCATCCCATTTGTGGGTTCTCCTTGCCAAGGTTACGGGGGTTCATATTTTCGGATCTTGGTGTATCTCCGAGGTTTTCGTTTGACACGCAGCACAATAGAGAGAATAGCTAGGAACCCTAATTCTTCAAAATTGGTTTCTGAATTTGCAAGCTCGGACGAAATTAATGCAAGTAAATAAAGGTTTGATTTTGGAACGGTAACGTAGAAATCTCAATTAGATTTAATTTTGAAAATTTGAATAATAAAGAACAAATTCAATATTTTGTTTTTTTAGAATTATCTATTATTAGAAAACTTAGAGGTACCTTTAGAATTATCTAAATATTTAACCCAATTAAAAAACAGGAATAGAGAAACAGTGGGTCAATTTTATTGTAAAAAATCTATAAAAGTATTCTGTGGTTTACGTTTGACCTGCTAGTATATACCATACAAGGGGCAACCTTCTACAGTATATACTTATAGTCTATGGGTCCCAACCATTGCCTGTTCTTACCACGTGGCATGTGCCCTGTTTAGTCTACACTACACTATGTGAGAGAATAGAGTTTAGTCTACACTTCCCTGTTCTTACCACGTGGCATGTGCCCTGTTTGGCCTGCTAGTATATACCATATAAGGGGCAACCTGCTATAGTATAGACTATAGTCTATGGGTCCCAACCATTGCCTGTTCTTACTACGTGGCATGTGCCCTGTTTAGTCTAGACTACACTATGTGAGAGAATAGAGTTAAGAATTTAGATGCTTGAACGAGTCAACGGTTAAAACTGATTTCTTAAATTATTTAGGGATAATAGCATATAAGGGCAATTTTTGGTTCCTAATATTTAAAAAATAGAATAACTTTGAAAAAATAATATCAATAAAGGGCAAAATCATTGCAATCTATCAATGGATCCTAATATCATTGTTCATCTTCCTCAGTCACTGGGCGGAGGCAGAGGCGACAGTGACGGAGGCAGAGGCGACAGTCACTGGGCGGAGGCAGAAGGGTAATTGGCAGATTATACATTTAAATTTCATTTTTATACTCTGCACCAAAACAAATACAAAAAACCGCTTTGTAATAACAATATAGAAATATAGATATTGACCATAATATTAAGTCGTACATAACAATAACATATATATATATATATTTTCAAGGTAGGATTTGTAGTGGTGCACCTATTTCACTATACTCGATTAGAGTACTAGTAAGTTAATAAAGAGTACAAATTTACCGAACCCCGCGGCCTCTTTCCTTTACTCTGACCATTAACCCAGGGTTCATGAGAGAAACTAAGCTTGGTTTTATGGAGACCGATTGACCCTCAACTAGTTCAATATGAAAATTGAAGAGCAGAGTGGCAGCAGCCAACTTCATCTGGGTAAAAGCCATTTGCTTACCTACGCAAGTTCTCGGTCCATTGCTGAATGCGAATAAATTGGACATGAGTTGAAGATCTAGCGTTCCATCATCACGAATCCATCTCTCGGGCTTGAATTCCAAACAGTTGTCTCCCCATATCCATGGCATCCTCCCAACGGCGTAATGGGAGAGTATTATCTGCATCCCAGGCCTGACGACGCTGCCATCGGGGAGGGTATCTTCCTTGAGAACTCCTTTACTATTCAATGGAACCGGAGGATACAACCTCAAGGATTCACAAAAAGCCGCATGCAGGTACACCAACCCTTTCACATCACCTTCATCAAACACCCATGGCCACACCCTTGTCTGAATATTCCCTTCATCACCAGCAGCAGCTGCTTTATTCATCTTCGCTGAGAATACAACCCCTAATTCTTCCAAGATCTTTGCTTCTACATGTGGGTTCTTACAAACCAACCAAAAGAACCAACTAAGGCCTACAGTGGTTGTATCTCGTCCAGCGAGATTGAAGGTCAACATGCTATCTCTGAGGAATTTGTCACTGATTTGTTTCGGAGACTTGATGTAGATGGCCAATATTGTATTTGTTTCCACTCCTTGAAGCAATTCTTCTCTTGTCTGGGAAATGAACTCACCCAAGAAGGCATCTGCAGTTGCCCATGCCTCCGCATATTTCTTCTCCCTGCCAACCTTTAACCAGCGCATCAGCTTCCATACAAACGCAGGCACCGCAAACCTATAAAGTATGGCCTCCTCTGCGTTGTCAACTGCTTCCACGAATTCGTTCGTAGGAAATTCGGGAGACAGATAGCCCGAATCTCTTCCGTATGTCGCAGCAATGGTGGTCTCAAATGTGAATCTAGACAACACATCTTGCAGATCAAAGGAAGACCCTTTGCTTGCCATAAGAATTAACAGAGGAATGAGCTTGTCCTGAACTATCTTCCTGGTGATGTCGGCGAGGAAAGCCCGAAACTCGGCCGACCTGAAACAGGAATGTGCCATCTCTCTCTGTGTGGACCATGAATCAAAATCAGCGTTAAATATTCCATCTCCAAGAACATCGAATTTCTCGTTGAACTCGGGGCCTTTAGGGAAGTTGGTGAAGTTGGTCTTGAGCACGTACCTGAGGTTCTCGGGATCGCATGTTACCAGATATTCAAGCTTGGAGAATACTGGACCTTTCAGATGAATGGTGCGAGTCCGAAGGGAGACGAAAACGTCAGCCAGCCAAACATTGATGTTGTGCATGTTGAGTACCAACTGCGGGAGTACTCCAATCAAAGGCCAGTGCAATACGAGTTGTCGTTGGTTCTTGTGTTTCACGTACCATGTCAAAATGAAGTAAAACACGCAGGATAGCAAAACTTGGCTTAGCAACTCCATCCTCTGTATTTCTGTTGAGGAGAAATTAAACCAAATGTATTACTACTATATATGGGCGTTGGGCGTTGGGCGTTGCTTTCACACTCCATCCTGAGCATGGAAATGCATCTACGGTATTTTCAATATATATATATAGCTAATAAATGATAACTACCATCTCAACAAACTAAAAGTAGGAGCTACCTATTATTAAGTACATGATTGAATCAAATTTAATTTGACTACTTACAAAACTTTTTGGCACCTGTCCCTTTAAATACCCCAAGCCTAAGTCTGCATCTCCTTCTAACCAAAAACATTCCCCAACACCCTACCTACATGATCTATAATACCACACATCTCACAAATGATAGGTCCCACTTTTATAGTGGGTCCCAGTCTCATGATGAATTGTATGATATCCCCTCATGCTGGTACGTATTTAGTTGGAAGGAGGTCCCAACTCCCCATTCTATCTTTTTTTTATCCTTGAAAAAAATTTGCTCTATATAAATCTTAACTCTATGGGCAGGATGTCGGTTTATATGCGGGCTATTAGTAATAGATTAGGACGTGGCTATAATTTAAGATTTGGAGAGTAGAGTCTACTCATTCCATAGATGATTAAAGCCAATTTCTGGTAGTTGTAAAAATATTTATTAGCTCCACCCTAGGGGTTTTAATCAAACCGGTTTGAGGTCCAGTTATCCGAATGGTCAGCCCGTTTAGATAAAAAAAAAAATTAAAAATTGAAAAACGGTTAAATCGTACGAATGATTAATTGGTCGGTTCAGCGGTTTATTAATCAAAATCAATAGTTTTGGAGAAAAACAGAACCGATTCAGCAGTGACCGATTCTCGGTTTTCCGGTCTGACCTAAAAAACCATGGTTTTAATTGTTCAATCTATCCCTATAAATCTTAGCTCCACCCATCTTGACTGTAGATTGATGCCAAACCCACAGAAAGAAAATAGGGGGCTACTAGTAGACTAAGAGTGACTTTAAACTCAGATTTCTGAGGGAAAAGTCTACTTATCCCTATTTATTATAGGGGTTTTAACTGTTAATTCCACCCTTACAAATCTTTAACTCCACCTAGGAGAATACGGTCTACTTATCCCTTTATTATATCGGATAAGTGGACTGCAAACCTCACCGGTTGAACTACTTGTTTATTATATTGTGCTCCTGCTTCACCTATCGTACACTTAACCAGTTTTTGAAATAAATTCAACACAACTGATTTTTTTTTTTTAATTTCAAACATTGATGTGTTCCAATTTCATTGGAACATGTGACTTTTGTTCCAATGAAATTTCATTCCAATTTCAGTGGAATATGTTCCAATCTCATTCTCCTCTATTTGGCTATGCCGTGTAATTTTTTGGTGACTTTCAGTCAGTGTTTTCAATCAATCGTTGACGTAGACGTTCGGATCGTTCGGCTTGGGAATCATTTAAGTAACCGGTTTGTTTCACTTTTAATCTGTTCTTATTCCAAAATCGTTGATGCAAACGATCAAATCATTGACCCGTTTAACTTGGACAACGGTTCATGGTTAATAAGGAAGAAGGAGATTGAGAGAGGTAGAGGGACTGAGACAAAATGATCTCAGATCTGAGATCACTAGAATCCTAGAGAGAGAGATCAAATTTGAGATCTCAAAACTGAGATTTCTGTTCTCAGATCTAAGATCAAAGAGTAAAAGGAATAAGTCCTAATCATAGTTTTCAAAATCGGACCGGACCAGACGGTTGGACCAAAAAATGAGGACGGTCAGGGGACTGGTTCCGTTTTACCCTAGAACCATTATTTCTCCCAAAATTGTTGATTTGGTTAGCGAACCACTGATCTAGACAGTCGAATCATTCAAGTCGTTCAACGGTTTGGTTGTTTATATTTTTTGTCAGAATGGGCCATTCATTTGGTTCGAAAGGTTAGACCATTCAACCCGGGAACTGAACCTCTGATCGATTCGTTATTCAGTTCAGTTTTAAAAACCTTGACCCTAACCCTTATATTCAAATCATATCAAACCGCATGAACCGTTCAACATGAACGGTCAAACCACTAACCTAAAAACCAATGGCCACAGTAGTTCCATTTTTAAGTCGGTTTTTAAAGCCTTAGCTTTCACTTATCAAATACTTACCCCGTTAAGTGTGTTTAGGGGGCTCAATTTTTCGCCACATGCATGTTGAAGGCAACAATTTTAAAAACACATATACTAACACTGGTTAATAATGTATCACTTCAACATTTACATATTATTATTATTATTATTATTATTATTATTATGTTTCCCTCCACTTACATTGGCATATTATTATCCTCACCCAACTACTTTTTAATGTTGATGTATAATCCTAACTACCAATTTGTACCCATGCTTCTCACCCTAAAAGCAATGGGCTCTCTTGAAAGGAAAAACTTCGTACATACTCTACAAATATGGAATCCAGAAATCCATTGGTAACATCACCCCATAAATTCAATATACATGAGTGGGAGTAGGGGTGTCAAGTTGTCAACTGTACTGGGTTTTGGTCCAATCTGATCTTGCCCAATGTCAGTCCATTACAAATGGACTTGGTGATCAGGTCCAATCCAATGAATATTTTGGATAATTTTAGACTGGTCCAACTCAATGTCTAATTCATCTCCAATCTGTTCAAATTTTTTTATTTTAGACTAATCTTACAAGCCTGGTCCATTGACACTTATGTTCTTATTTTCTATCAATATCAATGGACCGGATATATATTGACTTAATCCAACCCAATCCAATATAAATTTATTATATATGGATGGACCAGATCCAATCCAATCCAATAAATACTTTAGACCATTAAGTCTGGATTGGTCCAATTCAATATGCCTTATTGGTCCATCCAATCCAATCCAAAACCAGTCCTTTGACACCCCTAAATGGGAGATACATATAAAACACAAACACAGAACGTACACCAATGCATACAACGACACTACCAAACGTGTGGTGAGTTCCAACTTATCATTTCAAACATACCACAATAAGGGCTAATAGCCTGAAACTGAATCACACTTTTTAAATAATTAATTTAGGGAAACTCATTAACTAATAATTCATAATTATTTTTAAATAATTAATTAAGAAATTAAGAAATTAATCTATGAAAAAAAATCTCCAAAACTATTTAAATAATAATCCATTATTATTATTCAACTAAATAATTATTAAAAAATTTAGGAAAATTTAATTAGGAAATTGATTTATGAGAAATTGTTTCATATTATTTAAATAACAATCCATTACTATTATTTGAATAATAATTTAGGAAAATTATTAAGTCTATCCACAACAATCTAGACCACTTGGTTGACTTCGACCATACCTGGTTTTACAATAATTAACAACAAATGGATTACTTTTAATTGAAAATAATGCAATTTACCATAATTACATTAAGTTACTATAAATACATTTACATTGTAAAATAATTAATTTACTATACATTACTACTAATCAATAGCAATTTCAATAATATTTTTGAAAATTATCATAAAATATTGTAATTCATTGTTATTTAATTCACTATTATACTGGGCAAGTTTTCTCAAGTGTTATATGGGGTTGGGGCAGAGATGGGGTGGAGACAGGAAAAATATTTTTGGCCCAAATTAAGGATGGAGTTTGCATATCATTTCCCTGAACCCAATGGTAAATTAGTAAAATATCCATAGATTTAATATTTATTTTTAAAATATCTCTAAGTTTTCCTCATATTCTTATAATCTTAGAGTCTTATAATTTCATTTATAAAATATCCCTAAATTATCATAATCCAATTTCTAAAATACCCTCAAATTTTCATAATCCTATTTGTAAAACATCCATAAATTAAGTTTTATAGGTGGTTGCCTCATTGAAGTCGGAACGAAAATGGAATAGAATGTCTTGACTTATGAGGGTGAGGGAGAGAGAGGGGTGTCCACAAGCCCCCTAATATTACAGATCAAGGGCTCAGTGAGTAGATGCAGATAGCTGACCTACCCATATGAGAGAGGAGTTACCATTACACGGATTTGATACTGCACCTCCACTTAAAATCAGTTGTGTTACATTATCTTGATTTTTGGTTCATAGACAGATGGCCTCACGAGGCTAAACAACAGGACTGGGTAGCCTATTACACTTATGGTCATACCCATAAACCCCCCAAATGGCAACGAGATTTGATCTCGAGTTTTGCTGCAAATAGGTAGAGAGCCTAAAAGGTAAAAAACCAAGCCACCCAAGTGTCAAATCATTGATGCAATACACCCCCAATCTTATCTTTGAGGGCACTGAAACACTGAAAACACTTCCTTCTTATAGATGTTCTGCTTCAATTCCTAATGAAGTCTTAAATCTATCTATAAACTTAAAGCATTGGGAGGGTGTACCATAGTATTGTGAGGTTGATATTTATATGTTTTTTGTTCTTGACACATTGTTTTTCTCTTCCTTTTCTTTTATATTCTCTCTTTTCCCTCACCTCTCTTTGTTTGGAAAATTACAAGAATACTACATATAAAATAAACCTTCCTATATAATTGTTTCTATAATATTCAAAAATTATAACAATGCCATATATAAAATAAATCTCCTTATATAATTGACTCAATGGCATTCTAAAATTATAGTAGTGACACATACAATTATTAACGGTTATGACATCCTATAAATAAAATGCCATTCCTCTTCTTTCTCAACTCTCTCTATCTCTCCTATTCTTTATCTCAACTTTTATTTATTTATTTATTTATTTTATTTAATAAAGTTAAATAAATTATTTATTTTAATAAAATAAATCGGCAAAATAAAAGAGATGTGACATTAAAAGGTAGATTTTAATAAACATTAGCGGAGACCTGTGCGATGCACGGGATTTATTAAATGAAAGCTAAATAATAGAAATGATCATTTACTAAAACACCCCCTATAGTTTCATGGATTAACTAAAATCTACCCTATAGTTTGTATTTTACTAAAATACCATTTATA